TCACTTTCTCACCCATCTGTTGAGAAGACTCTCCTTCCTCACCCAGTGGTCTTGGCACCCTGGACAGAAAACATTTGATCATGAAGGTGGGGATTGATTTCTAAGCTCCAGTTCTATTCTGTTGGTCTGAAGTCAGCCTTTATTCCAGCCACACACCTTTTTGATAAATATAGCTTTGTATTAGCTTTTATAGTCAGAACTATACCTTCTCCAAATCTATTTTTCTTTTTAAAGATTACTTGTCTTTGGAGGGGGCTCCTTGAGACCCAATAGAAACCTTATGATGCATATTTCTATTTCTGAAACAATAGTATTAGGATTTTGATAGAGATTGCATTGAGTTTGTAGATTGTTTTAGGTAGTCATTTAAAAAATAGTAAGTAATTCATGAATCTGGGATATCTTTCTGTGTATTTATATCTTCATTAATTTCTTTCATGTATATTTTGTAGTTTTCAATATATAAGTCTTTTGCTACCTTGGCTAAATTTATTACTACATTTATTACTGTGTTGTTCAAAGTCCAGCACCACTCTGAGTTGGCTAGATCCTAGGCAAACTCTAAGCCTTTCTCAATATGTTCCTTTATCTGTAAAGTGAGAATAACAGGCTAAGCTTCCAGGGTTGTTGGGAGACTCAAATGAGAAATGTGCCAAGTCTTTTGAATATTTTTGCCTAGGACCTTGTTTGGCATATAACAAGTGTTCATGAAATGGTAGCATCATCATCAACACCATCATCATCATCATCATCACCATCACCACCACCACCATCCTCAACACCATCAGCAATACTGCCATAATCATGATGAATGCTTGCACAGAGCTGTAAGGGTGAGGGATTCCAGGAGAATGCGTAGAGCCCATTTCAATGCCAATACCAGAAAGCTGGCCTTGGTGGTAATACTACTCCATCAAGAGAACTTGTCCTCTTTAAGAACCACCCTAAAAATAAGATAACCAAACCCCTAGGATCAGGAACTTAGCAGAGAAGACAGAGATAATGGTTATCTGCAACCTTCCCATCCCAGCCAGTAAGCTAATGTTAAAGTTTGCATTTTTGTTGGTAAATTCATAAATAGAGTTTTGTGCTTTTAGCACTTACAAGGTAAGTGATATTTGATGACTGCTGGGCTAACATGGGCAATGTTCCCAAGTATCTGATTCACAAAGTGGAATTTTTACAAAACTCTTCATTTGAACTCAGAAAAAATTGGAAAGATGAGAGCCAGGGATGGTGGTGCCTGTAATCTGGAGACTGAGGCAGGAGGATTGCTGTGAATTCTAGGGTAGCGTGAGCTACATTGTGAGTTCAGGGCCAGCCTGAAGTACATAGTGAGACTTTGTCTTAAAAAACAAAACAAAAAAAAATGGAAAAATGAAGTTTACACAAATAATCAACATCCCCTGATCATGTCCACAAACATCTTATTTAATTTTCACAAACAAATGACAAGGTAGGCAGCATTATTATTACTTTAATTTAAAAAATGAGGAAAACAAGACTTGGTGAAAATCCCCAGATCACAAGTTCTCCCCGAGGAGAGGGAGAGTTGGATCAAGTGTCCAGTGGTCCAGCTTTTCCAGGGGCTACCCAAGAGACAGCATATACAAACTGAAGGTGACAGGGGAGGAAAAGCTCTCCGTGCAGATGGTAACCAAAGGACAGCAGGGTGGCTATATTTATATCAAATGGGTAGACATTAAGTAAAAGCTAAGCAACATTGTAAAAGAGAAAAAATTTACCAGGAAGAATAATAATTCTAAGTATATACATATCTAATATCAGAGCACCAAAATGTAAAGAAAGCATGGCAGAGCTAGGGAGAAATAGATGAAAGGCCAGTAATCTTAAGGGACTTAACAATATCACCTTCAATACTGGATAGAATATTCGGATGGAAAATCCAGTAAGAACTCAATGTAGAACAAATGGAACTGTCAGACAGATTTACAGAACATTCTACTCATGAGGATCAGAATGCATGTTCTTCTCAGGTGTATCCAGGGCATTTCCCAGCAGAGATCATGTGTTAGGTTACAGAGTAAGTTTTAAGAAATTTAAGACGGTTGAAATCATATCAAGTGTAATTTCCAGTCACAAAGGAATGAAACTAAAAATTAACAGCAAAAGAAAAGCTGGAAAATTCACAAACACGTGCAAATTAAACAACACACCCTTGAATAATCAGTGAGTCAAAGAAGATATCAAAAGAGAAATTGGTAAATATGTTAAGACAGATGAAGATGAAATCACAACCTATCAAAACTTATGGGCTGCAGCTAAAACAGAACTAAGAGGGAAAAGTAAAGCAATAAACACTTGTGTTAGGAAAAAAGAAAGATCTTAAACAATCTACACCTCATGGAACTAGAAAAAGGTCACAAAGTTGGCAGAAGGAAGAAAATAGTACAGATTAGAGCAGAAATAAATATAAATCACAGAAAGGCAATAAAAAAATCCATGCAAATGCTGTGGTGTGGTCTTGAAGTCTTATGTGTTGAAGGCTTGGTTTCCAGGGTGGTGCTATTGGGGAGCACCAGAATGTTGAAGAGTCTAGCGTGAGGTCTTTAGGGGATTGGGGGTGTGTCTTCAAAGGGGATTATGGGAATCTGGCCTATTGCTCTTTTTCTCATTTCTCTCCCTGACCCATGATGCAAGTGTTTTTGCTCTGCATACACTCTTTCTGCGTGGGCTTCATCACCGGCCCCTAACAATTAATCATGGAGTGGAAGCTCAACATTTTGATCTGCAATAAACCTTTTCTCTTTAGAAGTTGAATATCTTAGATATTTTGGTATAGTAACAGAAAGCTAGGGCTGGTGATTTAACTCAGTGGTTCTGTCGCCTGCCTTGAAAGCACAAGGTCCCAAGTTTGATCCCTGGTACCAAAAACAAAAGAAAGCTGACTAACATAGACGCCCAGAGTAGTATTTCGAAAAGGTAAGCAAAATTCATAGATCTTTAGCTAGACTGAGTGAAAAAGGGAAGTCTCAACTAAGTAAAAATCAAAGGTTGTTTTTCTATTCCTAAACATGGCCTTTGGAATCTGGACAAATCCTTCTTTAAATGAGTTATACTGATGCACATACACAATCTTTTGGGCCTTTCTGACCCATTGATTTTGTTTTTCTACAGAACAAAGATATTGTGACAGGGACAGAAGGAGGGTGAGGAAGGATATTCTGTTAAGGTGCATTATGGGCAACAGAGAGATTCTAGCACAGATGGAGGGAGATGTGTCTACTTCCTAGGGATGAGAGAGTCAAGCTGCATTCTCCTAGCATTGTTCCCTGGGAATAGCTCAGGGAGCACAGTCAGACTTGGAGGGTGCTAATGTGTCCAGTAAGCCTAGGAATCAAGCGAGAGACATTTCCAGAGACTTTTGAGATAAGGCCATCACGGGTAACACTGAACACCTTATCCCAGTTTTCCTTTCTTGGTGAATGTGAAATATTATGCTTCATATGTACCCTTCAACACTACCACCCCAGACTCCCACTCTTTTGGGAGTATAATGTTTCTTCTAGCTATTTCCTCCCTGTCTCATTTTTAGAGAGACCACTGTTTCAGTGGATGTTGGCAATCTTTTTCTCTGCAGGTCCAGAGAGTAACTATTTCAGGCTTTCTTGGCCCCATGATCTCTGTTAAAAACTACTCCATTCTACCATTGTAGCACAAAAGCAGCCACAGACAACACCTAAGTGAAGAGGCATGGCTGGCTTCCATTCAAACCTTGTCTACCAAAAAATGCAGCAAGCTAAACTTGGGCTCCAGCTATAAGTAGGTTTCTCTCAAGCTCCCTGAGGGAGCAGAGGGAACCCACTTCTGACCCCGTCCGTCAGCATCGCCCCATCTCCCAGTAGCACTGTCCTGAGGGCCATGCTCTAAACAGCTTACGGGCTGCAGGTGGCCAATCCTTCCTTTATTCTCTTCCCATTCAGCCAGCCAGTTCCCATCGTTCTTTCTCATTTCCCATCCACAAACATGCAATCGTCCTCAATCTCTGCACATATTGGCAGATTTCCCAAGCCCCAACCAATAGTAAGGCTCAGGAGTCTTGAGGTGAATACAAGTAGGTGAGCTTCTGTCCTAAGGATGAGGTGAACTGAATACTGAGACGCAGGTAGATCTGGGAGGAGAGGGCTACCTGGGAGAATGTCCACCCAAGGCTCTTCTTTCCAGGGAGTTGGTGGCAGAATGTCATGGGAGAAGAATCACTGATCCCCAAATGACACGACATGGTGTCCCTGGCGGTCCTCCCCTCTGAGTAATGGGGTGAGCCTTTGGGGCTGGAACGATTCTGCCTCCTTTGAAGACATCTGATGAAACTCTGACTTCATCAACCACTGGCACTCAGGAAGGGCCTGGAGTGACCCAAGCCCAATGGAATAATTTTATGAGATGAGGGAGGACTCTTAAGAAGCATCTAACTAGCATATTTTGAAGAAAAATTAGCTGAAGCATTAGTAAAGGAAATTATGCTATTTGCTAAGTCCCCACCCATCATGAAGGGTATAAAAGGACTGCAGAGGAAGGAGAGACTCAACCTCACCCTTGTCTACCTCCAGAAGCTCTGCTCTGCTACCACCCCTCCCAGCACCATGCCCTACAACTGCTGCCTGCCCACCCTGAGCTGCCGCACCAGCTGCTCCTCCCGGCCCTGCGTGCCTCCCAGCTGCCACGGCTGCACCCTGCCCGGGGCCTGCAACATCCCTGCCAATGTGGGCAGCTGCAACTGGTTCTGCGAGGGCTCCTTCAACAGCAGCGAGAAAGAGACCATGCAGTTCCTGAACGACCGGCTGGCCAGCTACCTGGAGAAGGTGCGGCAGCTGGAGCGGGAGAACTGCGAGCTGGAGAGGCGCATCCAGGAGCGCAACCAGCAGCAGGAGCCCTTGCTGTGCCCCAGCTACCAGTCCTATTTCCGCACCATCGAGGAGCTGCAGCAGAAGGTAGGCCTGGCTGCCGTCTCCCAGCGGTCGCTGTCTGTCTTTGAACAGTGCAACTTGCTGAGTTCCATTGGCCCTCACGCTGGAACCATTTTTTCAGATTCTGTGTGCCAAGTCTGAGAATTCCAAGCTGATGGTGCATGTGGACAATGCCAAGCTGGCTGCTGATGACTTCAGGACCAAGTACGTCATCGAACCTTTGGGCCTGGGTGATCCCTAAATCGCCGATGGCTCTTTCCCAGCCCTCTGGGCCTAACGTTGCCTGGAAGGGAAAAGAAAAACGTTCCTCTGTTTTCTTTCCTTCTACAAGTCTGGTTATGTAAAGCCAGTTTCAAAAAGGAATTCAGACTGGTGGGCAGCCTGCCCCTCAGTGGACCCAGTCGGTACCCTTTATCTGAAGGATTCAGGACTGGAAGTGTTTTAGAGGTCAGCGTTTCGGGACTATTACAACATTTGGATGTATGCAGTGAAGGATCTTGGGATGGGATGCGAGTCTAAACACAGAACTCACTTGTGTTTTATTGACACCTCATAGCCATGGCTGGAAAGTAATTTGGTACACTATTTCTAGTGCCCTGGTGTTTAGGCTGTGACCTGTCACATAAGGTCAATCGCGGCATGACAGTGGTCACAGAGTTTCAGACCGCTGCGCATTTCCGACTTTCCGCTTGCTGATTAGGGATGCTCAACCTGTATTACCCTTCCTGGAAAGGTTTCTTAAACCCCGAGATTCCGAGATTGAAACTGATTTTTCTTTGGGAATGGATTGATTTGGGGTTAATAGGAGAGAGAGGAGGGTCTCCCCCCTCTGGATCCTTGTGTCTTCTGGTGTTGGGGTGACCGAAGGGCCCACCCAGTCTAACCACGCTTTGAGTTGAGGAAACATACAGGGGAGGAGGGGCAGAGCACTGTGTAAGTTACAAAGATCTGGGCCCATCCCATCCCATCCCACAAGACCTGGGAGGGGAAGCTGGGCTTTCTCCCTGGCCTCTCTTCCCACTGGGACCCATGTGCAGGTACCAGACGGAGCAGTCCCTGCGGCATCTGGTGGAGTCGGACATCAACGGCCTGCGCAGGATCCTGGACGAGCTGACCCTGTGCAGGTCCGACCTGGAGGCGCAGGTGGAGTCGCTGAGGGAGGAGCTGCTCTGCCTCAAGAAGAACCACGAGGAGGTATGATTTAAAACAAAAAAGGCTGCAAAGCTAAGCCTTTAGCGTGGGGAATCAGGAGGCAATAACTGTCAGGCTCCCTGGCACGGGACCCTTCTCTGAAGAACTCAGTAGCCCCTAGGAGAACCACGTTCTGTCCACATCCAGGAGAGAGATGATGTGGGGCTGGAGCTGCAGATACAGAGAAGAGGGTCTATCAATCCAGCCCTGCTCTCTGCTGGACACTGTTAGGTCTTGGATTTGTGGTGCAGATGGAGGAAAAAGGGCTGGCTCTTCTTTCCAAAGAGCTGCCAGTGTGGTGTGGGGAAAACTGTGGATCCATGGTGGCGCGGCCCAGCAGAGAAACAAGTGCCACAGAAGGCGTGTGTGGGGCACGAATGAGCCAGCCAGTCGGCCAGGGAGGAGGCAGGGACCCTGCTCACACGAAGGAGGATTCCCGTAGCTGAGGGAGGAGGCTGAGCAGGGACACTGTTGTGGTGGAGCAGGGTGCGCCAGGCACAGCGATCAGTTTATTGTCCACAAGGTTTGTGCCTATCATCCCAGTGATCAGGAGACTCCTGATGCTGCTTTATTGCAAGGTTGTGTTCACTACTTTACAGCCAGAAGATAGATCCATTTCTGTGGGCTCACTCCTTCCCCTTTCTTCCCCAGGAAGTCAACACGCTGCGCTGCCAGCTCGGGGACCGCCTCAACATAGAGGTGGACGCTGCGCCCTCCGTGGATCTGAACCGCGTGCTCAACGAAGTCAGGAGCACTTACGAGGCCGTGGTGGAGACCAACCGCAGGGAGGTGGAGGAGTGGTACACCACACAGGTGGGCGCCTGAGCTCCCGACACACGGGTCCCCAGCCCCCAGGGCCCCGAAGACAGCGTCTGACCCCGTACTCCCTGGGCTATTGCAGACCGAGGAGCTGAACAAGCAGGTGGTGTCGAGCTCAGAGCAGCTGCAGTCCTACCAGGCGGAGATCATCGAGCTGAGACGCACAGTCAATGCCCTGGAGATCGAGCTGCAGGCCCAGCACA